GCTCGCGCTCGCGCCCTGCGCGCAGCCTAGCCTGCTGGGCCGGGAGGCGGAGGCGGGGCCGCCGCGCTTCCGCTTTCCCCGCCCCAGCCGGTGACCGGTTCGATCTGGCTCGGGCCACTCAGACACCTTTACAGCCACCGCCAAGGGATAAAAAGGGGTGTCTGAGGGGTGGGGGCGGGGGAGGATAGGAAAAAAAAAAGGCCCGGGAGGAAGGGCGAGATACTTGCTGCGCCCCCCCCCAACCCAAGATCTCCACATTTGAACCCCTCTCCCTTCTCGGGCCCCGGCCATCCCTCCATCCTCAGGTCAAATCAAGGTAGCTGGCGTGGGGAGCCGGGCAGGCTGGCAAACGCGCTTGGCTTCGGCGGGGAGGGGCCCGGCACCTACAGAAACCACCGACTCCTCTCATCTCCCCACCCTTCCCGCCCCAAAGGAGGCGTCTTGCGCACCCTTCCCACCCAAGTTCACCAGGAACAGGGTTTTTAACTAAAGTTGCGCCCACGGGCACTGGACACCTGTAAAGACTAGCAGGAGCCCCTGCGTGCGGCGCATCAGAGACCCGAAGCCATTCCTTCCAGGGGTCCCTGGCGCGACTAGGGGTGCGCGCCCCAGGACCCGGGCCCCGCAGGCGGGCAGGGGCGGGGCAGCAGCTCTGGAGGGACCTTTACCGGCGCACGCCGGTTCCAAGCCGGGTCGGACCAGCTCCAGCCCGCCCGCCCGCCCCACCCGCCTCGGCCCAGTCCAATCAGCGCCTGGCATCGCCTTAGCAACAGGCTAACAAACCCAGCTCCGCCCGTCGCCGGGCGCCCGGGGCGGGGCCTCGGCGACCAGGCTAGTTTGAGAGCTCCCAGTTTCTAAGTCATTGAAACTATTCCAACCTTAGGAAGGAGCTCATCCACGCGTTGCAGGGTTTTTGGGGGGCCGATCTCGTGGAGGGGTGTGCTTGTGTGTGTGCAGGGCACTTAGGTTCTTTCATCAGGAAATCATGGTGCAACGAAGGAGATTATGTTTAGGCCGTAACTCATTGTTCTACTTTTCCACCATTACAAGTCAGAACTCCTTTCATGAGCACCTTTGTTTCTTCCCACCCATTTTACTTAAAACAAAAAGGCTGCAAGGTTCTGGAGGCTCAAACAAACTCATTTGTATGCTTTCCAACAATTAACAGCATTGCCATTAGGCTCTGAATGTTTCCTATCTGTGCTAATGTTTGGAGAGAAGAACTGGAAATCGTTTCAGAATGCCAAGTACCTCTGTGTAACTGACAAACAATCCCACTAAAGTATCTTTTCCTCCCTGATATTTCAAAAAATGATGCAGTAATGCTGTAGCTCCAAGCATCCTTCATTTCTCACTCGTTCTAGTTGAATTAGTACTTCTCATCGATAGACATTTCAAATAGAATAAAGGCAAAGCGACCTCTATTCTTTCTGAAAAACTGTCGACATCTGCACTAAATACTGCATTAAAAAGGAGAAGCACAAATTACATAACCAGTTTTAACATTATATTCTTCTTGGGCTAGGAATTAAGTCATCGCCACCACCTGACGCGTGTAACCAATCTGCAGAGAGCAGAACTAGCGCCCCTCCTCACCACCCCCCAGAACTGGTCCGAAACAGGATTGAACCGCTTCTAACAAAGGGTGGAAACTTAGAAAAACAAGCTTAGAGTCTCCTATATTTTCACAATGTAGCCATTTAAACAATAGATTGGAAACCTCGGGACCCCTTCTCCCTTTGACAACGCTTTATCTTTCGTCTTGTAACCAAAAATCCAAAGCCCGTGTGCCTTAGACTTTTCAATTCCATCTGACTGCCATGGGTTTCATTGAATGCACGTTCCAAAGTTAGACATGATGCTAGGAAAGAAAATTACGGACCCTGAATGGCTGCTAAAACTGCCTTAACACTTACCAGAATGACAGATGACTAGCCTTTAAAATAAAGAATGTTTCATGTACATTTTTAAAGGAATTGGAAAGAATAGGGGAAAACACACGTGGGGTGTTGGATACCATATGTCAAAATAAGCCACGGCAGTCCTTTATCAAAGAACAATGATCAAGTCTTTTGCACGTGTAAAAAAAAAAACAACCACCAAACACATCTATTAGACTTCTTTTTAAAAAAAATGTTACCTCATTTCTGCCCTGGAGATAAAATTTAGACCCAAGGTGGTAAATATAAAAAGGAAATAAAAGCTGCTGTTGGGCTGCCGTGTGTTTTTTTTTTAAAGCATTTCATTCAACAGCCTATGAAGTGAACCGATCGGGTTGTATTTAAGTTGAATTTTTAAGTGAGGTGCAAAGCCATTACAAGTTATGGCACAGAGCAAGCCGGGCACAGGGGTGCAGTCCGCCGTCACTTTGCAGATGCCTGCATGCACTACGGCTGAACACACGACGAACGTCAAGAGAACCCCAATCTTCCCAACTTTGCTAACCTTCACCAAAGTGCTGTGCTCTGGTAGCAGTCGGCCACGTTAGGGGGGGGGGGGGGGGGGGGGGGAGGAATTGGGGAGGTGGGGAGGAGAAGGATGGTGGGGGGGAGGAGGTGAACACGTCCTTTTCTAAAGAAAACGTGTCTAATGACTTCTACCAAAAAAACTTACCTCTTTCGTGCCCAATGAGGATGTCTTTATGGTTGAAATACTCCACTTCTTCAGTGTAATTCTGGGTATAGGCAGTATTGGAGCCGGCGTTTCTAGATTCCGTCCAGCGTACTTTCGCATGTCCTCTTGCATGGATTTTAAGCGATTTTACTCTGATTTCCCCAGTAACTTCTAAATTCACCCTTCCTGAGACAGTATCCCCGCTGGAGTACACAGGGACATTACTGTCATTAAGACAGTCAAAGCTTATTGTCAAACTCTTCACCTTTCCCAGCACCATGATTATAACAAAAATCTATAAAAATAGAATGTAAGACAAAAAGGGGGGGAAAAAGTCAAGATCGCATATAAAATGTGATCTTCACCTCGCACTGATCGGTGCCTGGGCTGCTGGGTTCGCCCCCAAAAAAGAAAAGAATCTCGCAGGCAGGATCAGTGATTCCCTACAAATAGTTCATTGAGATTTCTTAAAAAGTCAGAGCAGCAGGGCGGCCGCGGCTCCGCGCTCCTGCTCGTCTCAGTGGTCTCCTTACAAAGACGGGCGGCTGGAGCCTGCCAGCTCACTTTAAGAGCAGCTTTGTGAAAAACAACCCCAGCGCGCAGGCGCACGCCGCGGCTGCTGTCCGCCCTCCCTGCGCGTGCCCGCCCGCGCCCGGCTCGCGCGCTCCCCCAGGCTCGCTCCCCGACTCGCTAGCTGGCTGGCTCGCTCGCTCCCGGGTACAGTAGGTGTGGAGCTCGGGGGAGAGAAGACACGGCGCTGTCGGGAGGCTCGACTTCTCTTTATTGTGGGCTCGGATTGGTAGGGCCGGCTACCGTAAAGCCTCGTCGTGATATCGGGAGACCCTTTACCGAGCACTCTGTAATAGCCAGAGAGAATGGTGCCGGGGGTGGGGGGAAGGGGGGGTCTGGGCGAGGAGCCGAGGCGAAACCAGCCAAGGATGAACTGCAGAGGGACCGGCTCCGAGCGTGCGGGCACGCACGTCTGCATGCACGCACGTCTGCATGCACGCCTTACCCGGCCTGCAGGCTTTTGCCCAACTGTCTTGGATGGGTGGAGGAAAAAGTGCTGTGTGAACCGAGGTGGTGGTGGTGGTGGTGGTGGTGGTGGTGGTGGTGGTGGTTGGTGCTGGGCAAAACCGGTTGGGCCAGCCGCTGGTGGCACCACCTAATCTGAAGAATTTAATAAAAGAAAATGTATCAAGAGACAGACAAGGAGTCTTGTTCACAGTCAAGAGCATTCTTGGCTTGGATGAGAAAAACAAAAACAAAATACAAAATAAATGCAGTACTTTGTAGGCTGGGTGGAAACGAACTCAAGCCAGGCCTAAGGAGTCTGGAAGAAAATCCAGTATTATTGAATGGTCAGGGACGGTGTTTCTCCTCCATTGCCCTCTCCTTCATCTCTTAGCACCAGAAACAAAACATAAAAAAATAAAAATAAAAACCACAAGAAAACAAAGCAAGTTTGGTTGATGACACTTGGGGGAAGGTTTAACCACTTCCTCCACAGAAGGAAAAGTCCTTTTTCAAGACACCACCTACGCTAGATTTGCAGGGTCTGGCATGATGATGGCTCCTGAATCCATCCATACAAGTTAAGAATAGAGGTCTCCCCTCCTCCCAAGTACTACCTTGTAAGGGACCCTATGACATGGTTGGTGGTTTAGCTGACATAATGTCTACTAAATATGGAAAAGTCTTTGTTGGAAATTTGTGATGAACACACGATGGCTTTTAGGAAGCGGAATTTGCTAAATAAATGAGACTTCATTTTGCCAAGTTTTATTCTTAATTTCCGTTTCTACTCTTCTTTTGAATGTTTTTGTTTAATAAGAAATAACCTTTGTCTCACTGAAGTTCAGAACATAGTGACCTAAACTCAGATTACTGGCAAGCAACTGGCAAGATATAGAAAACAAGAAATATAGAAAATAAGAATACAGAACTGGAACTGTATATACACGACCAAAATACTTTGAAAGCTTTTTATTTGTCCATGTTTAAGCATTTTAGATTTTTTTTGCATAATGTATTTGGAGATATTGAACCTATGAATCACAATAAATTAAATTCAGTGATCTTGCTGATTTCTTTATTTCAAAATAAACTGAAATTTTTGTAGTTGGAATTTAGTTGACAAGGCATTCTTCAATCTCTTGGACTCAATACATCTGTAGTATAAATAGAAAATTAAAGGGCAAGCCATTTATTTCGAGTTTAGATGCTCATGCTTAAAATTATGAATTTGTATATTTAAGTGAAAAAAGAAATCTTTAACCCCTCTCGGTTGACACCTGGTGGAAAAGGCAAGTACCTGGACCCTGTGTTGGCTTTGATAACAGATACTAATTGGTGTTTTCTCTCCCTCTAGTGGTGAAAGTTGCAAATTTGTAAAATGTCAACTTTTTTTCTGTATAGTTGATGGTAGGCATTAAATAACATTGAGCCAGAAGTGAAGTTAAAAGAGGAGTGTATGTGGGGGGGGGGAGGGGGAGCGGGAAGGGATGGGAAGGGGAAACAAAGGAGGAGGCTACAATGCTTGATAAGAAATGTACTCAATGACTGCATGAGCCCATTGTCAAGTTTATATTTAAAATTATTAAAAGCTAGTGGTCAACAGCTGAATTTTAGTAATATTTCTCTAATTAGACTATAACTTGGCTTCTGAAAAAAATAATTTGTACATTAGAATTTCACTTAATAAAGTTATTTTGAATTGAATTCATTTGTAGTTTGGAAAATTATTTTTAAATTAATCTTATCTCTATAAAGCTCACTATTCCATGTGTTAGAAACTCTTAAGAAAGCTCACTATTCCATGTGTTAGAAACTCTTAACTCTTTCAAGTTATTGTATTATTTGTTTTGCTATTCTTAATTCTTTTTACTGTGCTTTGTTTTGTTTTTTGTTTTGTTTTGTTTTTGCCAGTTATGGAGTTTAAACTCAGGGCCTGGGCACTGCCACTGAGCTTCTTTTTGCTCAAGGCTAGGACTCTACCACTTGAGCCACAGCACCACTTCTGTTTTTTTCTGTTTGTGTGGTACTGAGGAATCGAACCCAAGGCTTCAAAGGGCTGTGAATATGGCTTAGTGCTAAGTGGTTGCCTAGCATGCATGAAGTCCTGGGTTCAAATCCTCAATACCACATAAATAGAAAAAGCCGGAAGTGGCGCTCAAATGGTAGAGTGCTATCCTTGAGCAAAAGAAGCTCAGGGACAGAGCCCAGACTCTGAGTTCAAACTCCAGGACTGGCAAAAAAAAAAAAAAATAACAACAAAGAAGATGGGCTTTTTGTTTTCTTTTCTGCCTGTCCTGGGGCTTGAACTGAGTGCCTAGGTTCTGTCCCTGACCTTTTCGGCTCAAGGCTACTACTTTAACATTTGAGCCACACCTCCACTTCCAGATTTTTGATCATTAATTAGAGATAAAAGTCTCATAGACTTTCCTGCTCAAGCTGACTTTGAACTGTGGTCCTCAGAACTTAGCCTCCTGAGTAGCCACAATTGCAGAAGTAAGCCATTGGTGCATGGTTGCCCTTGGGCTTTTTTAAACTAGGGTTCTAGATGAGAATTAAACTCTTAACTTTTTAAGAAATATTCATTAGTAAGGGTTCTCCACAAAGCATCATCCATATATTTGTTTGTTTTTTTTTTTGTCGGTCATGGG